AAGTTTTTAATTTTAATTTTGAAGTCCATTTTACCTGTTTTTACTTTTGTTGTTTTGCCTTTTTTTTTTTCCTAATAATCTCTATGTCCAGCGTGGGCTCAGACTCACAGCCCTGAGATCGAGTCACATGCCCCCCTGACTGAGGCAGCCGGGGGCCCCATGTTGCCTTGCCTTTGACGTCATGTTCAAGAAACTGTTGCCAAATCCAAGGTCATGTTTTCATCCAAGAATTTGATAGTTTTAGCTCCTAGGTCTTTGATTCATTTGAGTTAATGTTTGTATATGGATTAAGGTAGGGATCCACAGTCATTCTTTGGCATGGGGACATCGGGCTTTCCCAGCACCTTTTGTTGAAGAGACTGTCCTCTCCCCGTTGAGGGGTCTTGGCACCCTTGTCAAAAAATCAGTTGATTGTTCTTGTGAGGGGTTTATTTTTGGCCTTTCAGTTCTCTTCGCTTGGTCTGTATGTCTGTTTTTGTACTAGTAGCGCACTGATTATTGTAGTTTTATAATAGATTTTGGAATCAGAAGTGTGAGTCCTCCAGCTTTGTTTTTCAGACTTATTTAGCTATTCAGTATCCCTTGAAATTCCATGTTAAACTTAGGATTGCTTTTTCTGTTTCTGCCAAAAACACCACTGAGATTTTTGATAGGGTTTGTAGATTGCTTTGGGAGAAGTGTTGTCATCTTAATATTAATCCTGCAACCCATAAACACGGGATGTTTTCCCACTTCTTTAGTTCTTTTTAAATTTCTTTCAGCAGTGTGTTACAGTCTTTAATGTATAAGTCTTTCATCTTCTTGGTTAATTTTATTCCTAAGTATTTTATTCTTTTTGATGCTATTGCAAATGAATTATTTTTTAAATTTTCTTTTTGCCTCGTTCATTGTTAGTGTGTAGAAGTAGAACTGGCTTTTGTGTGTTGATTATGTACCCTGCAACTTTGCTGAATTTGTTTATTTTTGTGTGTGTGGACTCTTCAGGGTTTTCTACATATGAGATCATGTTTTTTGTGCATATAGGTAATTTTCTTTCTAATTTAGATCTCTTTTCTTTTTCTTGCCTAATTGCTGTGGCTAGAACTTCTAATACTGTGTTGAATAGCAGTGGCAAAAATGGGCATTTTTTTGTCTTGTTCCTGATCTTAGGGGAAAACTTTCAGTCTTTTACCATTGAGGATGATGTTAGGTATAGGCTTGTCATATAATGCCCTAAAAAGTTCTCTTCTGTTTTTGGCAGTTTTCCTTAAATGTCTGGATCTGAAAAAGGAAAAAAAAAAAGTGTACATTTCTCTTTATATTATAGTTTTTTAAAGATTTTATTTGAGACAGAGCATGAGCAGGGGGGAGGGGCAGAGGGAGAGGGGGAAGCAGACTCCCCGCTGAGTGTGGAGCCCAGTGCGGGCGGGGATCCATCCCAGGATCTTGGGATCATGACCTAAGTCGAAGGCAGACGCTTCACCAGCTGAGCCACCCAGGTGCCCCATGTCTCTTTAAATCTTCACTAGACACCACAGGGGGAGGTTGGTGCATCTGAATTGGTCCTTCAGGACCTGTCAGACTGAATAAAAGGTCCCCACTGCCCACCCTGGCCCCAGCAGCAGGACTAAGGAGCAGGGATGGCAGCTGGTGGAGCAACATAGCTCTCTCCCAGGAACACACGTCTCCCTTTGAGCCCCTGCCTGGTTGCTGTGCACCTCCCATCAGGTTCCAGAATTGTTGATTCTGATCTTTTTTCTAGCCTACTGGTTGTTTTGATGGACTGACCCCTAAAGCTTCCCCACTCCACCATTTAACATGATGTCTCCAAATAATAGTTGTTGGTTTTGATGTTGAGGGAGTGAAGTTTCAGTCCTGAAAACCCACTCTGTAGCCCTGTACCTTGCCTTCCCGAGCTGGTAGTACAGAGCCTCAGCCTTTCCTAGGGGTTGGTCTAGCTCTGATGGCTAAGGTCAGTGTGAAGCCAGCCAGTGAGCACTGAGACTGAAGCAGGTTGCCATGGAAGCCTGAGGAAAACCCCACCTCTCCTGTTTGAGGAGAGAGAACCATGAAGAAAAGTGAGAAACACATATGCAATGGAGATCAGAAACAGCACTGAATCTGACTACATATCTTCCTCCCCCCACCGTCTTTTTTTTTTTTTTTTCCTTTTTTTTCTGCCCTCACAGGGTCTCTGGTAAAAAGAGTGAAAGCAAAGAAGCCAAGAAGTCTGAAGAACCAAAAATCCGAAAGAAGCCTGGACCGAAGCCGGGCTGGAAGAACAAGCTCCGCTGTGAGAGGTGAGGCCTGGGTAGAGGGCTGGCCTGCCCGTCGGGGCAGCAGCTCCATGTGTGCTCTGCATTGCAGGGAGGAGCTACCCACCATCTACAAGTGCCCTTACCAGGGCTGCACAGCTGTGTACCGAGGGGCCGACGGCATGAAGGTGAGAAGGGGCACTGCCCCGGCGCCAGGGGCTGCCTGCTGTGTGTGGTCGACCAGGAGGACCAGATGTTTCTGTAGAGCCTGGTGTAGACTTGTCCCCAGGGGCTCACGTGAGCCTGCGTGAATGGAGAATTGAGCAGCCATGGGCCAAGAAGTGAGCCCTCCACTCCTGGGAGAAGCACCCACTTCTTGTTGAGTGAGGAATGGTTGGGTCTCTTCCTTTGAGGGTGCCGTGTAGGACCCGTGGGAGGCATGTGCTATGTGATCGGGGGAATTGTCCTGGCCAAGGCACTCATGGTCTTGCTGTCTGTCCCGCAGAAGCACATAAAGGAGCACCACGAGGAGGTCCGGGAGAGGCCCTGCCCCCACCCTGGCTGCAACAAGGTGTTCATGATCGATCGCTATCTGCAGCGTCACGTGAAGCTCATCCACACAGGTGCGTGCCCTGTTCTCCCACACTCTCACATATACAGTCCCCTTGGGTGGCTGATGGGGGCTGGACACCCTTCAGAGAGGCCTGGGGCTGTGCCTTCCGGGTCATGCATATGGGCTGTGGAACTGACAGTGAAGAAATCCCAGTGCCTTTCTGCAGGTTTATTGTGGTGGTTTTATCATTACTTTAAAAAAATAACAATATGTGCTTTTTGGATTATAAAAGTAACCCATGCTCATTGTAGAAATTGTAAAAAGCAAGCACAGAGAAGATAGTAAGCACCCCCATGCACAAGCACCATCCGCACCTGAGGGTTTACTCTTCCTGTTGGTTCTCATTTTGTGTCTCTGTGCCTACTTCTGTGTGTCCTTGGGGGTAATGGCCTGACCAAGTCCTGTAGGCCCCGCGTTGTAGTGGGCCGTTCCCCAGGGCCCAGCGCTTCGGGCAGTGTCTCCAGTGTGTGTGGGGTGTGCTCTGCTCTTGTGTCCTGGCCACTTTAGCCTTCAGGCCACTCATCTGCAGAGGCGCTCTCTGCCTGTTGTGGGCCGTGTGTGGTCTGAATATGGTGCATTTTAACCAGCTATGCTCTGGTCTGCTCGTGAAATGAGACCTGTCGCCACAGACTCCAGAACTCCTGGGTTGGGGAACATGGTGTGAGCAGGGGTTTGGGCCAGGCTTCTGGGGGAGGGGGCCTGCTGGGCTGGGCCTGAGGCCAGAGGGGATGGGAAGGGGGGTTCCAGTGGCGTGAGGGGGCAGTGAGCAGGGCTTGGTGGTGTGGTCTGTGCTCTGCTGGTTCCTGAGTTGGACCTGTGTTTATGCTGAGGGGTGGGGGAGGTAAAAGGCACCTGCTATTCCTTTGTTCTTGGAGGGGTCTCTCGGGGACGCCCTCTGAGATGAGCAAATAAGCTCGACCACCCCCCTCCCACCCGACCTGTGTGCCCCGGACGCTCTTGTATGTCCACGGGCTGTTTGCTTGCCTTCCCTCCAAGAGCAGCACTGTGCCCTCTGGGCTGTCCCTGAGACAAGCCCGCTGACCTTTACGACTCCAGGCTTGAAGCCCCCGTGGTTGTGACAAGTCGGGGAAACTCAGCCCCTCGGCCCCTCTGGCTTTCCAAGCCAATTGCTGTGGGAATTCCTTTTCCCTGTGAGCTAGTCGGTCTCTCGCTCTTCTCCTTTAGTTGTGGAATTTGTTCTGCCAGTCTTCAGGTTGATTTCTGGGGCATTTGGGATGATTTGATAGTTGCCTAAGTAGTGTGTTTGTGGGACGAGGTGAGCCTAGGGCCCTCTTCCTCTCCCCATCCATTCTCTGCATACGTATTACAACCCCGGGCTCATGTGCGTTCCTCACAATTTTGATTCCCCTCTAATTTTAAAGACACGATCCACCCCACATGCGTTAGAAGCACAAGACCTGCACGTGCGCCTGATGGCCGCACCTGCTGCTTCTCTCCACAGAGCTGCTCTCCTGATTGGCATCACCCCCTTTAAAAGATCAGTGGAGCGCATCTCTCTTTATCCCTGAACAGGAATTGTGCTTGCTTTTGTTAAACTACCTTACTATAGGAAGTTATGATTTACTTTTTTTTTACCCAGATTTGTCCGTTTTATTATCGGACAAATTTATTGGTTGGTTTCACTGTGAAACCATTTTCCTGTGTGTTTTGCTCTGAGCACTCTTGGACATCTCCTGACACAAGTAATTCCCTTAAATTGGGTCTTCAAGCTGTCTCCGTTCAGACACCAGTGGTGACAACCATTAGCAGTTTTTTTAAAAACACCAAAGAGGACAGACTGACTCCAAGGGTGCACTGTACCTAGTAGGGGAGAAAGCCAGTCTGTGTGGGTGTTTGTAGTTGAGCAGGTGGGACTTGAAATGGCCGGGAGGAAGAAGCTCATGGCTACCACCCCAAGCCCATGTCCAGGAGTAGAGCTGACTGTTCAGTTTTTGTTCAAGAGTGTAAGAAATTTATTGGCCAAGTGGCAGTAGTGATCTATGGAGCTTTATTGATGTGGCTTCCTCGAAGAATTTTTACTCAAATAAATAGATCTAAGTTTCTCTTCAAGAAGACAGGCTTCAAATGTACACAGTTGATGAAGTCCCAGCCAGGTGGCATTTTTAAGCAATTTGGAGTGCTCTGTTAACAAAAAGTTTTGTATTAGAAATGTCTTCCAGGGTGGGAGGATGGGTTAGCCTGGTGATGGGTATTGAGGGGGGCACGTTCTGCATGGAGCACTGGGTGTTATGCACAAACAATGAATCATGGAACACTACATCTAAAACTAATGATGTAAT